AGGTCCAGCTCTACAGCTTAATGTCTTCCCAACCAGTTTTGATATGCCAAAAGCCGCAATTATTCCCCAAACCAGCTGGAATGAATTTGACATATATACATTTCAAGATTGATTGATTTTGCTATCCAACTGGTGATTTGTCCGCCCTAATATAATTCCATTGTAATTAACCCCACACTCACATGGGTCTAAATTCCTTTTCTCTATCAACCCAAGATTCTGGTAATACTTCATCTTTTGTTTCCACCAACCATATACAATCCAAAGAAAAGAACGAGGGGATCATGGCTTACTCTAAATCCCGTTCTGATTTGGATAATAGTTTTAGATTTACTCAATAACTTCAGCCTCTTCTCATTAAAAAAATAAATAAAAAGAAAACTTTTCAATACCTTTCTAATAAGGTGATTCCTTAAAAAAAAAAAAAATGTTTAAGTATCAAATTCAAATTCGGACATCCAAATAAAGTGGATAAAGGAATCTCTGATCTTGTAACCTGATGCACAGTGCAGCAAGACAGCATTACAGGTAAAGAATCAATCAATCAACAAAGTAAAGAAAGGGGGCTCCAAAAGCTTAGACAGGTGACTAAGCTATAAATCATTGGTTATAATTATTGAACATATGCTGTTGACATCTAATTTTGAGTACCATCCAGCAGTAGTGATATGCCACATTCTACTTTTGCACTTTTCTGTAATTTAAAGTCTAATGTGTTATCTTTAAGTGCTCCATATATGATTTAGAAAATTTGATTATTCAAAAAACTTTAAAAAAAAGTAAGAAAAAGAAATGGCCAGTTGGGATTTGCTTTTTGTTCACTGTCAACCATGTCATTATTTCGTTTTAACCCAAATAAAGCCTCAAATCTTCCTTTAACTTTCACTGTAACAAAGCCTTCCAATGTAATAAATCCATTTGCACTGTCGGTTTCTCACTTTTTGTGAGGAATGTGGGGTTTCTTTTATTTTTTTAATTCATTTATTTATATTTAATTTGTGGTTGTAGGGAAGGGTATATACTTGCTTGACTACATGGTTAGGGACCCTTGATTACGGTTGAGACGATTTTGAATTGAGCAGTGCCAGTCAGCCAAAAGTTTGGCCGGAATTGGGAGGCTAATACATGGGTTCTTGCTTCTTTCCTGTACTTCCTAATTTCTCTGAGCAAATAATTCCCAATATATATGAGATGAAATAAGCAGTATCAAGGTAAATTTTTGATTGGATCTTGAAACTTTTGTGAGCAAAAGAGAACAAATAAAGAAAAGATATACATCAATGAAAATGAAAGCATTTGATATTAGGGGTTGCAGCTCAAAGATAAATATGTAAATCAATTTACAACCGCAAATTTCACAATATGGTACTATACCATATTCAATCCCACTAGCTCTTTCTACCCAAGGTGGAAAAAAAAAAGCCCTCAAGCTAATGATGCAACCATCGGACCAAAGTTTTGTTTATTATATATGGCAAAATAATCATTGATTTATTTAATTTACCAAACCAACCTTTTAAATGGAAAACTCTTAATTTGGCATCTTAAATGGCTATTTTAAGATGATAATCTTTCTTTGACTTCAATGTTTTTCCATCAACAAATAAACAGATTTTGCAGTCTGAGATATGTATGAATTGATATTAGACAATTTATTCTCATCAAGTTCTCCCAATCTATTTGGAAAAATTATCTTTCAAATGTCAAAAGTTTTAAGATCTTTTCTAAGTATAGACTTCCAATTTTTTATGTTTATTTAACCTAATTAAAGCAGGAAAATTGGAGAAGAAACAATGCATGGAAACCCTGATCAAAATTGGAGGTTGAAGTGGAGGAAATTAAAATCAGGCCTTTCTCTTGAAAGTGTAGCTACAATTCTCCCATTGGATTATGATTATTTTGTCATTTATAATAATCTAAATTTGTCAACAGAAAGGGCAAAAAAACAAGACAAATATTTATCACCTTGAAGACTTCCTTCCAGTTAATAATCATTGAATTCATCATGCACCTCGGAGTCAACTTCATTTTTTATTTCTATTTCCACCCAAATATCCTCAGTTTTTTTTTTTATGGGTTAGTAAACAAAATGATCCACATCCCATCAATTACAGAACCCCACCGCCAAAAAAACAAGTCCAAACAAAGCAATAGAGATTTGCAGTTAGTAACAAAATTCTAGCATATAGACATATCTGATAGCATCTCCAGGGCATATCTTATTGGAATCTGCCTATGATTAGAAACCAAAAGTGCAAAACAACAGGTGCCAAGACTGGATTGCAAATTTTGATACGCAAATTTGGGTCAAATGATCAGAGATTTCTGCCACTCTGACACCCCATGTTACCAGCCGCTTGCATTGGATAACTTTATTCTGTCATTGAAAATTTGATACGCATATGATCGGATCCTGATACACATCCCTGGTACGTTCATGTCATTGATTCCACATTTTCTGTTGATAAGTAAGCCCTTTGGCATCTATATAATATGATTTCCAACTCTAATTAAACCATCTATAACAGAAGAGATAACATAGTTACAATTAATGTTCCTAGTTTGAAATCTAGACATTTCGGTAGTATAAAAATTCTCCACAAAGTCAATAGATTCCAAATCAATTCACAAATATTCTTGCAATAAATAGTTAAAAACGTACTGCACATGGCAAACATGTGGTAGAAAAATAGTTTTCTCGAGTGTATTTTTTATTCTTATGGTGAGTACATAGGAAATCAGAAGTGTTCTTCAAAGCGACAACCTTGTCCATTTTATGTTCTTCGGCTTTGAACCTTCTCTGAAATTGCTGTGAAATTGCAGTCACACAGTACAGAATTTCAGCCTTAGGTTATGTTTGAAAGAAGTTAGTAAAAAATGCAAATTATTAATTGGCCTTGTACTCCTTTAGTTTCTACCTGCCTCTACCTGTGAAGTAAGAAAATGGATCGGGTTGTCCAAATAATCAGTCCCTTCTATGTGTATTTCAGCAGTAATCTTGTCCTTAAAGTAAGGTCTAGATGCCTCCTCCCCTACATGGTTTTGTCCACCAACAAGTTTAGACTCTTTCCCAATCTTTTAGCGTAAAATGTTGATATATTCCAAAATTTAGCCACTCGTTGATAGCCACATAATCACATGATATAATCCAAACATAATGAAATGAAGGACTAGAGTTAAGAATATATGACACGGAAAATTGATTGGGGACAACATTGTACGAAAATGAACTGGATCTTAGCCAAAAAGGCCGAGGAAAGTGTCATGCTCATACGCCTATGCACATGCTTGAGGCGCCTAGATTCAAGGGTTTACACTGCACATATATAATTCTTCAAACAGTTCGTGCGAAATCATGGAAATTTTGCTGAAATTTTCAGCAACCCAACATTTTGGATAAGTTTCTTGTTTTTTTTTTTATTACCATGGGACAAAAGTTTTCTCATCAAATAAATCATAGAAACAACAGTCTTTTCAAACCCATTTACTTAACCTATATATATAATCATCAGGTCAATGGCCAAGAATTCCCCAACAACAAAAAGGAAACTAAGAAAAACAACAAATTAAGCTAAAAAAAAAATAATGGCATCCCCCAATCATCTGATTATTTCTTTCTCTCTCAAAGCTCTTTCTGCATGTACGCATGCAAGCAATGGAATCAATTACAGCCAAAAAGAATCATGTTCATGTCTGCATGTGTATGTTTTATATGTATATATACATGGAATCAATTATGTCAGTATTTCCTCCTTGTTTATATTGGATATAATTGGTTGTTAACATAAGGTCCACAAGATCATGCCTTAGGAAAAAATATTGATCGATTTGAATATTAAATAAAGGAATTGGTGTAGGCCCGCAAAGGATCTGCTCACATGGCTGCATGTGCACTCAAAAGATTGAAAAAAAAAAAAAAACATACAAAGCACAAGTCCCACTGGCCTTTCATTGTTGGCTCACCATTAACATACCTTATGTCCTTTTTTTCTTAGCCATTCATGAATTTGTTCCCCATAGAGAACTATTGCATGTAGTTGGTGCCAAATAATGAATTTGCTTGGTTGCCTCTTTATATAATTAAGAAAAAAAAATGTTTGAAAGTGAAGTATAACTACTATTAAGGTAATATTAAAACTACTTTTTTTTTATAATTATTCTTTATACTTGATAACTACTTACTATCCACGTTTAATGAAGTTTTATCATTTTTGTGCTTTCCTTTTCTATCATATTTGATTCTTTTATACGTACAATGATGATTAATTGCATCCAATGCGTGCAAAAAGTATTGTAAAAGACCCTTGTTATGAAGATTTTTTGTAATTTTCCATCTGGTTGAACTGTATAATCATGTTACTAATTAGCTTTTGAAGTTTTTGAGGTAAACTTTTGAACCTAGTAATACTTAATAGAGACAAAAGTTGTCTATTTAGAGGCTCTAGGTTGGGATTATAATCACCTCCAAATTATAATGCTGGTCATGCAGTTCATAAATAATTATTTTAGTCCAAATAGTGAGAATAAGACGTATAAAATATTATGTATTATTTACAAATATTATCTTTATTTTTGTCTCCTCTCTTTGAATTCCGAATCATTTAATATAACCCATTATTTTGAGAGGAAGAAAATAGTATATATTGAAAGTTAAACATGTTATGGTTCCTGTTTATGAACATTTTTATTTAAACGAAAAACATTAAAGAAATATGAATTATAAATATGCTTCTTTTTTTTTTATTTTCATAGGAGAGTCATAAACGTGGAATTGGGCTTGAGAAAATGAGCCTGACACTGGAGGGCAGGGAACTGGAGGCCCATTTCTTATAGGTTTAGGCATACTGAGGCGCCTCTTCTAGGCCAAATCTTCGGGACCGATGCACAATTTAGAACCTGATATGTTCTTATAAATGAATGATAGGCTGGCCCAACTTACCTAACACGAACTCTTTGCCCCAATGCTCATTCTCAGGAGAAGGAAAAGGAGTAACAAATTCATTTTAAAAAAATAAAATTAAATTAAAAAAAAAAAGAAGAAAAAAGGCGATTCCATCCGTATCCACTATCCAGCAAGGGACAAAGGGAGCAGATAGCAAATGTAGCTGAGCTAAATTTGGTGTTGCCAGTGATTCCAGTTGCAAGGAAGAAGGCAGGCAGTCAATCCAAAATCGAAAAAGCTGCTTTGTTATGTCTCCGTGCAAGGCTAGGCATGGGCCTTAGGCAATAACACCACGCCATCGTCTTTCGGCATTTAGCAGACAACATGTTGCTTCGTTTTGAAGGCAATTCAGAGGTCTGTTGTCAACTCTTTTGAGGCAGACTTTGCAACTATAATTACTAATGTTTTTCATAATCCGACCCATTATTGAATCCATTGGAGGTTTGGTTTTCAGTCCCCCCCCGATTGAACCAGTTGTTTCAGTTCAATGTCCCGTTTCTTGTTTGAAATATATTTGTTTGGTATAAAATACATTCACAGATGAAAGAGTCTGAAAATATAGATGTTTTTACTTTACTGCTAATCAGTTTGTTGTTGGTGACTTTTAAAATAAAATTTCAAAAATTTGTTAAAATAAAATTGTACATCTCCTTTTTCTGTCGGTTTGTGTTTTTAATTCGTTTTCATTTTCTTTTTTCCTGCTTTTGTTTATTTCAATAAATAGTTGATATTTTCAAATCTTTTATGCCTTTCTTCATTCCATATCTCCATTTCTCTTTTGTGTTTTTAATTCTATTCTTACTGTGTTTCATTCTTACTGTGTTTCATTTTTTTTTATACTTTTGTAAGCTTTTTCAGTTATTTCAATAAAATTTAATTAGAATTTTAAGATTTCAATTTTTTTTTGTGTTTAATTTATTATTCGCCAAATTCATTTATCTATAAAACTAAAATTTGATGGACAAACCAAAAACACTCAAACCAGTTTAACAAATCTTAGATTCCACTCGATACAATAAACCCTAAACTCATTCAAAAAAACTAATTCGAATAATCCTAAAATCAATACAATTTGATTTAGAAACCCTAAACTTGATTCGATCCCAATTAAGAAATTTTAAAACCGGTTCAATTCAATTCAAAAAATCCAAAAATCAGTTCAGTTTGATTATAAAAACCCTAAATTAATAGTATTTAGCAGATTCACATATAACCAATCATCTTATTTTTAAGACTGTTACTTAGTTTAAGACAATTACCTTTTCGGGTTTTAAGATACCTTAACCCTTACCAACGTTAGATAATTGAGAAAACTGTCAAAGATTTTATAATTGAAGTGGTACGTTGGAACTTTTATACAGTTTGGATACCATATTGAACATTGGGCTTATCTTGAGGCACCTTTGTGTAATCATCGCTCAAGTTTTTAATAAATCAAAATAACCTTCTTGGCAATGGGAGAAACCCATTTGTGTGGACCATGATAAATGTATAAAAAGGATTACCTTTGGTTTAAATCGATGGATCATTTAGAAGGGCAAAACGCCAAAGAAATGGCATATTCCATTATCCCTAACATAGATACGAAGGTAACTTAGCAAACTGATGCAACACCAAAACTTTCTGCTCTTCCGATTCACTTTCATGATGAGCCAGCTAGCCTTCCAACGATTTTGACGGCACATCATTGATACCAAAAATCAACAGCAAAAAGAAAAAACACAGAAAACACAGAAACTTAATGGAGGACTGTAAACTGTGCATGCTTGTTACCTTTTTCTTGATCATAACAAAGATGGTTGCTACTGGAAAATACATACCAACAACTTTAGAAGGACCGTTTGATCCTGTGACTATCCGTTTCGACCCGTCTTTACGCCAAGGCAGTGATGACATACCAATGGATGACCCAAGGCTCAAGAAGAATGTCACCTCAATGTTTCCAGAACAAATAGCTCTTGCTTTATCCACACCGACTTCAATGTGGGTTTCTTGGGTTACAGGTACTTTTCTTTGCGGTTCTTTTTTTGTTCTGTGTTCTTGTTTTGGTTGTTGATATGTTTGGTCGGTTTGTTCGGTTTAGGTGATGCACAGATTGGTTCCAATGTGACTGCCCTTGATCCTACATCAGTTGCCAGCGAGGTTTGGTATGGGAAAGAGAGTGGAAAGTATACAAACAAAAAGACAGGAAATGCAACTGTTTATAGCCAATTGTACCTATTTGAAGGGCTCTTGAATTATACCTCCGGCATCATTCACCATGTGAGAATTGATGGTAACAAGATTATCCCATTGATCTGGTATAGTTTCTTTACTGTTTTTTTGTTGTTTCTGTGATAAATTGAATTTAGGCTTTAGGAATAGTCCATGTAATTCACTTTGTTGAGTTGTGTAACTTTTGAGGTTTTCTACCTTTTGACATATTCAATTATATAAATTTGAAGATAAAAAATCCACTTATTCAATTGAAGATAAAATAACAATCTCTTTCATGTTTACTGTGGTTTTCATAAAGAACAGAAGTTGTTGATGGAGAACTTAATATTGGTATTGATAACTAATCCTGGCAAAGGAATAAGTAATCAGACATTTTGATCTGCAGGTCTGGAACCAGGAACAAAGTATTACTATAAGTGTGGAGATAGCTCTCTTCCAGCTATGAGTGACGAACATGTCTTTGAAACTTTATTATTACCTGGTCCAAATTCCTATCCTCGCAGAATAGCACTTATAGGAGATTTAGGTCTAACCAGCAATTCATCAACAACTATTGATCATCTGACCAGGAATGATCCCTCATTGATCTTAATGGTTGGAGACTTGACCTATGCAAATCAGTACCTTACAACTGGTGGGAAAGGAGTTCCATGCTTTTCATGTGCTTTTCCAGATGCACCAATTAGAGAGACTTATCAACCTCGCTGGGATGGATGGGGAAGGTAGTCTTTCTTTAACTTGCATTGTACGCATCCTTGTGCAGGGAGTCATGATCAGAACTTATTGAGTATTCAAAATTCTCAAACATACTGCCTCAAGTTGGTCAAATTATGTGCATTCAGTTTTACCTTTTCCTTTCCTTTCTCTGGTATAGAGTAATCAAGCATTCCGTTTGATTTAACTTATCACGGCCTTGCTATCTGCATTGGTTCTGCTCTTGAAGGCAATGTCTTTAACCATAACCATCAAATATCCATATTAAGGTGTACAAACTATTAAAGCATGAATGCATATATGCCTCAGACGCCATTCAACTTACAGCTGCTTTTCTATTAACTAAGCTCATTCCAAGTTCAGGTTCATGAAGCCACTGATCTCAAGAGTTCCTATGATGGTCATTGAAGGCAACCACGAAATTGAACCTCAGGTAGCTGGGATCACTTTCAAATCATATTTGACAAGGTTTGCAGTTCCAGCTGAGGAGTCTGGCTCTAACACTAACTTTTATTACTCTTTTGATGCTGGAGGGGTACATGTCATTATGCTGGGGGCATATGTTGACTATAACAGTACAGGTGAGAACAATACGCTTTGTTTCATATTTGGCTTTAAAGTCTATGCTTTTAATTGCAGACTTTGATACAACATGGAACATTTCTTATCTCAATTCTAGGAGCTCAGTATGCTTGGCTAAAGGAAGATCTACATAAAGTAGATCGAATGGTAACCCCATGGCTAGTAGCAGCAATGCATCCACCATGGTATAATAGTTACTCCTCACACTATCAAGAATTTGAATGCATGAGGCTGGAAATGGAAGAACTTTTGTATCAATACGGAGTTGATATCATTTTTTCTGGTCATGTAAGTTGGAGTAAACAAATTCTAGATTGCTCGAATGCAATGAGAGAAAAATTTCACTTGATTTTTTTTAACATAGATATCACCTCCCTCACCTTGATAACTGAAGATCCTGACTAATTTTGTTATGGCACTACTATTCACAGCAGAACATGCAACTACAGTTACGGCTGATTAAACTGTTAAAGAGGACCTATTGATGCCAACTGAACTATCATGTTGACAGTAAAAATTAAGTAAACTGTAAAAATAAGACTCACTTTGCTTTTTGGATTTCCACTGCCTATGTCATTTATTTTTAACCCTGTACAGATAAGTGCAAGGGTGATTAGTCTTGTATGTCCAGACATGACTAAGGACTGAAATGCTTCGTAATTGAATATGCATTGAGCAGATAAATAGAAAGCTGAATTAATTCTTAATAAGTTTATTTTTAAAACAAAATTTCCCTCTGTATTGATTCGATGTGATATTTTTATTTCTATTTTAGGTTCATGCTTATGAGAGGATGAACAGAGTATATAATTATACATTACATGCTTGTGGACCTGTCTACATAACAGTTGGAGACGGTGGGAACATTGAGAAAGTTGATGTTGATCATGCAGATGACCCTGGAAAGTGCCCCTCAGAAGGACATAATATACCAGAGTTTGGAGGTGTGTGTCATTTGAATTTCTCTTCTGGTCCTGCTAAAGGCAAGTTTTGTTGGGACAGGCAACCAGAGTGGAGTGCGTTTAGAGAAAGCAGCTTTGGACATGGAATACTTGAGGTCTGGATTATCTTCTCCTCATTAGCATTTTCACTCTAGATTCCATATTTGTCAGCTGCTACTCAGTTGTTCCCCCAAAGACAAGCCTAATAAGGTTAAATTGGAATTACTCCATGGTTTTCTGTGATGGATTGACTACATGACCAAGATTTTTTTTATTAAGAGATTAATCCATTGTACCTAGAGATTATATGGGATCTTGAACTGTTAGAAATCCATTATTTCTGTATTATTTTCTAGATCTTTGGTTTCTTGATGCAGGTTCTGAATTCAACATATGCATTGTGGACTTGGCACAGAAATCAGGATATCTACAAGGAGGAAAGTTCTGGTGATCAATTATATATTGTGCGACAACCTGAATTGTGCTCTCCCTCTACATCCTTAAAAGTGATTTTCCACTTCAACATCAGAGAACTACTATTCAATTCATTATTTTATTTTTCTTGTGGCAAAAGGATTGAAGTTTCCTTAAAAAGGCAATGCTTATGCATCACTCTATGTTATCATATCAGATTCTGAACCTTTTTGGCATAACACAATTTTATTATTCAGTAAGATGCTATTAGTAATCCTTTTTCCCTTTCTCTGTCCCCCTCATGACAGGGATCCAATGAGACTCAGCAAGGAGCGCAAGCAAAAGAAAGTGCAGCGGTATCTGCAAAATGGGCGTGGGTTCTGCCATTGTTCTTCATAGTTATCATTGCTTTCTGTTGACAATTGTTAAAATGATTATAGCTTGATAAGAGAGGTGCCAAAAGATTACTAAGTTTACTGGGTGAAGACCAGGTCACTGGAGGAACCATACAACAATTATTAGTTACATTTTCAGGTCATTGCTGCATGCTCCGTACGACTGTAACTCTTTCAATTCAGGATCATGAAGATTGTAGGAGCAGTGCTTTCATCATGCCTGCAAGTCCTGCGTGATGTTGTTCTAGACTTGTAGTGCCAAAAATACCACAGCAAGGTTTTAAGACAACAGATCAGTTTAAAGTCAAACGAATTTAAATAATCGGAGAGCTAATAGTTGAGAGGGAGGTTTGATAAACTAATCATCGCCAAAACAAAATGGAATCAGGCAAATATGCTGTTTGGAGTTCCATTGTAATATTTGTAGTACTTCCATATTGAGCCTAGCTTGGTTTTAAGTCAAGAGAATTTGTCATGATACCAAGTTTACTTGGCAGAGCTTTTTTCTCGTCTGTGCTACAATCACTTGTGTCCCTCAAGAGGTACGGAATTTCTACATCTTCAAATGCAAGAAAACAGGCAACACATTCACATGTCCTGAACGTCATGCACCCAAAATGAAAGACGTCCGGGCGTAAGGTAAGAAGTAGAGTACGAAACATATTGCAGCCATTGCTGGTAACAAAGCTGAATGAGAATTGAGACGAACCTTTACATAAAAATGATCTGTATGCGCAAATTACAGTAGCCTAATGGCTAATATATAGTAGTGGCCGTAACTTATCTAACTACATTATAAAAAAGAGGGTAAAGAGATGCTGCGGAATCAAACCCAAAATCTGACTCTCTCAACTTGACTCTCAGAAATGAAAACCACTGGAGTGAGCTTGCTGTAAAGAAATGAAGTAGAAATTGAATGTAAAAGATACTGAAGTTGGCCTGTCAACTTTAGGGGCTGTACCCCTGATGAACGATGATCATAGCGTAGATGTAACGGAATATATCAGAAGCGTTTTATCAGATGTAGGCCATCTCCAATCATTTCCTCCAGTCCAGATATATCACCTAACCTTAATTTGCTTTCAACTAACGGCCTTTGTTGCCACAAGAAACCCATTACCAACTCAGTATGTCTTTAAAGTCAAACTCATCAGCACAGTAACAACCGTTTTGATTCCTTATTGCATCATCTAATCCAAGCTCCACCATGCACTCCACACATGTATATAACACCTTTCATGCAAAGAAATCATTACTTAATAATTTAATTTATATTTATTTACATATAGTATAAGTAGGTAGTATAAGTTAGTAACATAACAATATTGAAGATTCAGATTAAACCTAAAATAATTCTAGAGAAAAGCCAAACTCGACAAGTCAGTCTTACATGATACCACCTCACACAACCCCACGTGACAAACATTTTAACGGCCTTTTCCGGGCTCCACTCCTCTGCTTCCATAACCATCCTACAACCCTGAGAGCGATTGATGAAATTTCCTAATTCAGGGTGCATTTTGAGTAAAAGAATGACAGATAAGATGTGAATCATCCAATTTTAAACATATATGTCTTGATTAATATTTTTGATGAGGAAATTCATTTAGTTTATAAATATTAAGAAAAGGAAAAAACAACTCAAACCCAAAAATGAAATATGGACCATGCAATTATCCAAAGAATTTAACTGATATGGCAAGACAAAGAAAGATAGAAATATTGACCAAAATACAAGGACAGACAGGTAAACTCGAACATTGATTTAACTTATGTACTTGTCCTGTTTCTCGTACTCCCACGTTCCTTGTTCGTCTATAAGTTCCTAAACATTTTCCGTCGGTCTCAAACTCTTCTTGTCCAGTTTCACTTACCACTGCTTTGTCCGCTCTTCTCCTTAAAAAACCCAAAAAGAAAAAAAAAGAAAAAGAATGCAGTACAAGAACCTCGGCAGATCTGGTTTAAGAGTGAGCCAGCTCTCCTACGGAGCGTGGGTCAGTTTCGGTAACCAACTCGATGTTAAAGAAGCAAAGTCACTCCTTCAGTGTTGTAAAGACAACGGGGTCAACTTTTTCGACAACGCCGAGGTTTATGCCAATGGCCGAGCTGAGGAGATCATGGGTCAGGCTATTAGGGAGTTGGGATGGAAACGCTCGGATATCGTGGTTTCGACCAAGATCTTTTGGGGTGGACCGGGGCCTAATGATAAGGGTTTGTCGAGGAAGCATATTGTGGAAGGAACTAAAGCGTCGTTGAAAAGGCTTGATATGGATTATGTTGATGTGATCTATTGTCATAGGTGGGTTCATTTAAAGATCGATCTTTTTTCTTTTAATTGTTTTTTATTTTTTTTTTGTTTTTTTATTTTGGAACCTGACATCTGATATGGGTTTCTGTTTTTGTTGCTTGATTTGATGTTTCTTTTATTACATCTATTCATTTGATAAAAATGTGTTTTTTTGGGGTATCTGATTTGCTGCTAGCTCTTGTTTTTTGGGTTTTTTGTTGTGATTTGAAGTCACATGATTCTTTTTTTTTTACACGAATTTTTGGATTGTGTGTTAGTGTTCTTTAATTCTTATTGAAGGTTTTTGTTTTTAGGACAATTGATATCTAGTATTCTTGTGTTTATTAGTGTAGTTTCTTTGTGGAGGAATTTTAATAGTATGCGTTATTGGGTAATAGTCTTATTGGATAAGTTCTGTGTTTTACATCTGGAGAATGTAATTTATCTGTGTAAGGCTCTTTCATGAGTTATCATGGATGGAATTTTTGTTTCAGTCAGTATAATTTCTGTGGTTTGTTTGGTGGAATTTAAGTTCAGGAAGTCTTCCTTGAGAAGCTCATTGAGTTCATCGATGTCATGTGTGTTACAGGCCAGACTCAAGTACTCCTATTGAAGAGACGGTGAGGGCTATGAATTATGTCATCGATAAGGGTTGGGCATTTTACTGGGGGACAAGTGAGTGGTCATCACAACAAATTACTGAAGCATGGGGAGTAGCAGAGAGGTTGGACTTGGTGGGGCCAATAGTGGAGCAGCCTGAGTATAATTTATTGACTAGGCACAAGGTAAGTGCTTAGGAGGAACACCCAGGACACATATTTCTGCCTTCTAATTTTTTGTGAATTTTATTTTGGCAATTATATACATATATTTTTAAAAGAATTCACATTATTCTTGGGTTTGTGCCATATGAAAGTTGGAAAAAGAAGATATTCGTAGAAAAAACTAATTGCTTATTGTAGATGCATTGCTATCAGTTACCATCTTGCAAAATACAAAGATTAATGACAATGCTAAATGCTTGATGACCCTACAACACATAAGTCTTTATAGTCTAGAAAAGGTCTTTCTTATCTGAATGGCTTTTGCATGAGTAACCAAATGGTGGAGGAGAATTATGGTCTTGCATCCTGAACATTCAAAGAATAAGTAAAAGAACACTTCATGACTTGACAGCTCAGTTCCTGGGCTTGCCCTTGTATAGCTATCCTTACTTTGGTTATGTTCAGAGCCTTTACAACTGTTGGGGGTTTATTGGGAATGAATTTGTTCCTGACTCTTCTTCAAGACTCTATGGATTGGTTTTTCATTTCTATATGGATGCAGGTTGAATCTGAGTACCTTCCTCTGTACAGCAACTATGGCCTAGGGCTTACCACATGGAGTCCACTTGCATCTGGAGTGCTTACTGGAAAGTACAGCAAAGGAAGTATACCAACTGATAGTCGGTTTGCATTAGATAATTTCAAAGTAAGAATTACTTCAAGTTTGATTTCTTACTGTTGCCCCTATAAATCTGTGTCTGCTTTTGCCCTGTTTTTTTATCTGTTTGTTTCAATTGTAATTGAAGAAAATTCTCAGTTGTCTAGGTTCCCTTTTCCTTATTTTCTGAAGTTTTAGTAGAAATTTGTTGATGGAACTCTTTTTAACAATGTTGATTTGGGCAATGTTTGATTATTTTTAGTGCTTCCTCATGAATCTTGCATATTGTTTGTGCATCAATGCAACAAATATCATTTCTGATGTATGTACATGTCTTCAAATCTGTTGTTTATAGTGATTGTTGTACCAAGAATATGACATTCAGACAAAACTTAGCTTTTCTTTTCTTTTCTTTTTTGTTTTTTATATTTTGGGATAAATGTGAGATTAACTTATCTTTTCATATTTTGCACTGCTTAACTTGTACAATCTAGCATCTCCTGAGAAGAATGTGAAACTCCCACAACTTAGTTTGAATGCTAGTATTGTTGGATAATGATTAGTAATGCAGCCTCTTTCTTCTTCATCATTTTTTTTGGGATTACTTTAACCTTAGAAAATTCTTCAAACCTGCTCAGTTCCACTAATTTTAACACCCTTCTCCCTCTTTCCTTGGTAAAACTCTAAACTACATTTTTTTTCATGTGTAGAATCTTGCTAACCGATCGCTAGCTGATGATGTGCTGAAGAAAGTCAATGGACTGAAGCCAATTGCAGATGAACTAGGTGTACCTTTGGCTCAACTTGCAATTGCATGGTGTGCTGCAAACCCTAATGTATCATCGGTTATTACTGGTGCTACAAAGGAATCTCAGGTTTGTAAAGTATCTCATATTTCATATCTTGGATCACTCTATAGATCCAATGCTTTGCTTTGCTGTGCTTGATAAGCCTCATGAGGAAATGGTAAACTCATTTTTTTGCCCTAATGGCTGTTTAGTACACATGCATGCACATGAACGTGTCTATTTATTTTTGGTATAAGAGGAAGACACTAGATGATAATGAAAAATCAGTGACATTGGTGAAGTTGAAGGTTGGAGTCTATGCCCTTGAGAAGGTGAAGAGTGCAGCCTAGAAATCAGTAACATTGTTAATTTTGTAAGAAATTTATACCATTGACTGTTCTTAGTATGGAAGACATTGAAAGTAAAAAGGTTCGTTAACTTGAGGAGAATAAAAATTACGGCCTAATAATTTCTGCATGGTACTGTTTGTGTGATTTAAAGATCGCATGCAATTGAATGTGCAGGTAATGTACATCTGATTAATGTCTGTGCTTTAAAAGATGATTAATTGGCTAATATAATTGGTGAACTGTCTTTTTTATTCCAAAGGAGCCTATAGTGCTTGGAAGTGCATCATTATTTTTGCATATTAGTACCCTTCACACCCTCCCTCTAATTAGTTGCTCTTGATGTTTGTCTGGCTGCAAAAAGGGTGACAACAAACTCTTTATTGTTAGTAAGAGCAAATTGAACAATAACTTTTTCTCACTGAAATTCACTTGCATTTACTTCTTAATGGTTACTTGGTTTATAAAAGTGTGGCAATAGGATTTTGATTATTTCCACTACTACTACTGCTAATACTATAAATGCAACTTAAGAATAGCTTTTTCTTTCTCCGCATACAGATTCAAGAGAACATGAAGGCACTTGATGTAATCCCATTACTGACCCCTGCTGTTATGGAGAAGATTGAGGCTGTTGTTCAAAGCAAGCCAAAGCGTCCAGATTCATATAGGTAGATGCAGGATGCTTGTCGTCTTCTCCGTTGATGACACATTGGCGTATTGTCCTTTGCGTAGCATTCTTTTAGAGCAAGGCTATGCATCATTCTGTTATCTATTTGTGTACTTGATGTTTATTTGGTTTCCTATTTTTGATACTTGGACATCTGAACTTCTGTGTGTATGACACCTTTATTGGGGGGAAAAGGGGTCCAAAAAAAAAGAAGTGAATTGGGATATAGAACAAGTTTGGAACTGCTGGTGATTAGTGGTGGATTGTTAATGCATATGGTTCGGAATACCGTGTTAATGAGAACGCATTTTTTGACAATTTTCTAGTATTTGCTTTGGTTGGAATGACATTGGCGTAGATAATGATTCTCTCCCTTGCCTCTGTGACCTAGATGTTACCTCTGCTGATACTCTCTTCTATTTGAATGGAGTCAAAACTTTTAACTGCTATGCAAGTATGAATGCATTTCGGACAAGAACTTAAAGCTGATAAAGCTTATTCAGAAGGTTGCTTCAAGCACACTGTAGGGAAATTGCAATTTTTGCATCCTGTTTAACAGCAGGAAGGAGATTATGTTTCAATCTAAGAGGATGCAGGATCACTGAATATTTGGAACATAAGTAGAGGGAGAAGCTCTTCAAGGGGGCAGTTCGTTGAAGCCCTAGGCACGCCAACAAAGTTGCGGGAATCAAAGAAATTGCTTTGATGGTTGTTTTTTGAAAGCGACTATGGAAGATGGCCCAAGTTAGCCTCTTCTTGTTCAAGATAATTGCCACGAATTATGAGTCTACGGTTGCAGATCTCATTGATTCAATGGGGTTATTAACATTAAATTATTGCATATTGCCGAGTACCTATGAGGGGTTAGAGCGGCTGTAGGGGCCGTCGTGCACAGTTTCGTTTCCCTGCCCATTTTCAATCTTTCCTGCTTTCCGAAATCTTTACTTCTCCATTTATCATACCAATGAAGACATGGAATAGATCCTAATCCGAGTCCTTCAGAACTTCATATTCTATAGTTCTCATAATTTGATTACTGTCATCAGCAATATAAGTGAATAAAGGAATAGTTAGCAATTAAGCATGCGTATATTTTTATTCAAATTGAAATCCTAGCTGAACCTAAGGATTCTTTATTCACATTCCTAATATATAGCTCATATCAAGCAAAAACAAGAAAAGCAGTAATAAATTAAAATAGGTGATAGGTCACTCCCATCTATTCCCAGCCGCCAACTTGGGCAGTTGGCCGGCCCTGAAGACTATAGTCAGCTCTAACGCTCGGTTCTCTTCAGCTCTAAACAAATTGGCAGAACTGAAGCTTTCAGTGCTTTGCAATCTCCCACCTCCCAACTCAAGCCCAAAGTACAGCCTGATGTGGAGTCTCTCTTTCACAACCTTGCACAATTTTCTCTAAAGACAGGTCAGCGCAAGAGTGATACGAGGACGAATAGGAAAAGGAGAAAAAGGAAGAGTTGAAGGAGCAATCTTCTAAGGTGCAAAGTGTTATCAATTCCGCAAGTTGGCAATTGTGCATATGTCTGCATTTTCCTCCTCTTGTTCTTTCTTGTTGTACAAACTGGAAGTTAAAGCTTGAGCTAACAATTAGATTGACACCAATTATCCCATATACAAAGCTAAAAAAGAGTTACCACTATTAGCAATTTTGTTGAGATAAGTATATGCCATCTTCAAATCAGTAGCCTAAAGTGAAGAAGCTCTGCCACATCCTCCATTTGCAATTGCAAGGTGGTTCAACCAAACAACTTGAGCCTGATGGCTAATTTCCTGTTCTTGTAAAAAAGTATGTTCAGGCAAAATGCTTGATGAGAATATACAGGCATTGTGCATATTATATTAATTTATCATTGGCAGAATTAAGTCTAATGAACTAAAACCTCCAACCTAAGCCCTGCTTTAAGAAGGCATTCTTTTTTTCTTTTAGCTCAATGTCAAGAAAGCTTTCTGCTAAGAAACTTACCAATCACATTTGATGAGAAATTAAGTCGAGATTTAATATCTTTCAACTATATGATGAAACATAATTAGATTTTCTAGAAACATCAAATCTTGTCTGATTCTTTTCTGTACAAGATGAGATTGTATTGACAGAGTGGGATAGCAGGCAAGTGTTGGGAGAAAACAGAAACATTTATCTTTGAAGCATCTATCAATTGCCCAGGGAAACTCTGCATTCCAATTTGTTTACTTTTGGAAGAAGCTATGAGTATCATGTGTCAGACTTCCATAAAAAAAATGATGATTTCATAAGGTAAAAGACGAGATATTAACAATAAGAAATCCAAATTGTTATAGCTTCCTCAATGTATAGAAAGTCTATTAAGCATTACCTAACAAGATATGAGAGAGTGTCCGGAAATGGAGTGCGGAAGCCAGATTTCTGTTGCCAGTTAACTATAGGAAGCTTGTCCCTTGAAAGCTTCTGCTTGGATGTAGGGACTCAATTATTAAGCCAAAACACAATACATGTATTAGTTGGCAGTTACTTGACATAAGAGATAACTGAAAATACGGTTTGCACCATGGTAAGTAGAAGGAGCACGACAGCAGCAAGAATGGATACGAGTGCCCAAGGACTGTTAAAGTAGTTGTGCTTCAAGTTTGCAATCCATTTGTTCCAGCGTCTACCGCAATACATGTTGACATTGTTGAAAACTTCAGAGTAGAAGGAGTATCGGGAGATGCTAACAGAGTCACCAAGCCTATTAAACATGGTGGCAATCACTTCATCATTACCTAACCAGTTATTAATAATTCCTCGTTGACGAAGTAATTCCACATCTTTTGGAGAGTTGATAAGGCAGTCCATAAAGTTCATGTAGTCAGTGACGTGATTTAAACTTCTCCCTGGAAAAAACTGCTCAAAGGCAATAACATTCCGAAGGAAACATTCTGTATGGTCATCAATTTCCAAGGTTGGGATCTTCATAGTCCCATTTTCAAACTTTATATCAAAAATGCTGTTTCCCTCAGCCTTTTTGAAACGGATGCCAGCCTCTTGGAGCTCTGTGGCACAATGCATGAAGCTCCACTCAATCTTTTTGGTCTTGTTCCTATAGACCTCCATTTCAAAAGCAGAAGGATGCCAACAATCATTTATCAGGCCTAGCAAATGCTTGATCTCCGTAATGGATCTTAAGCTATCTCTGATACACCCTTTACCTGGTAATATAATAGTGAAGAAATTTATGATAACATATACGAATATGTCTTGACTAGGAACCTCTATTACACGAAACAACTTCCAAAGAACAAAAAGGGGAAGCTGATTTTCGACCAGTAACATATCACGACATAAGATACCATGGAAACCACCTATCTTAAAAAGAGGGTCATCGATCAATGTGGTCATAGCAAACTTGCGCATTAGCTGAATTATAAGGCAACCATCAAGGAGCATCATTTCCACAAAATCATCTGAGTCGAGACTTACAGGTTCTGCATAGCATTTTCTAGCTCTTTCTTCTAATTCTCTCATTATTACAACATATTTGGTGATATCATTCTCCCCTCTTTCTTGAAGAAGCAAATGGAGAAACCGAATTTTATGTTCCTCCATGGGTTTTAAGTGATCTTTACCACGGTGGTAAGGACCAATTGCAACTACCTCAGGTTCATAGGCCTCTTCATTTACCTTGCGAAGATAATTAGGAACTTTGAAAATGATACAGTCTGACGATAATGGGGACATAGTCTGCAACTTTTGACCTATGCGGACAGCAACTGGGTCAACTCTTTCTGCTTCCATCACTTTCTCCTATGAATTGCAGAAAACTGTGACACAGAAAAGATACCAAGAATTAATTCATGTCACAAAAATGTCAAAGATAAAAGGACTAATTCAAGCCAAAAAAAAAGAAAAAGAAAAAGAGATAGGCATAACACCCACAAGAGCAATTGAGACTAAGTTGAAAATTGTTAAACTTCGCTCCCCGTTCTCTTTCTTCTAACACCCTAGATGCTCAATGCTGCAATAAGGAATCAAATTTGAATCCTCCATCGGAGGAGTCCCATTAAGATTAAATTCACAATAATCGATAAATTTAAAAGATAGCAACTCTTTTTCTTAAATTTCTTTTCCAGTTAACTTCAAGGTAAGATGATAGGTATTTGGTCAATTGCAGCTTAACAGACGCTTTTTATTGCACAATTTCTGTCAATAAAACTACTGCTAGTACAATCTGCAAGCATTAGCTCATGGAGATAAAACAACAAAAAAAGAAAATATAAATACACATAGTGATTCCAATAAGAAGAAGCAACCTGTAAATAGTCTCTTAAACTACATAATTACTTCTGAGCAGAAGATAGTACATAATCTAAAAATATTATTAACCACTTATTTCCCTATGCATATACCTAAATTCTCTATTGTTAGCTTGGTTAGCTATTCTGGACCGACTAAGCACTCTTTCCAGACGTCAAACTTGGGGTGTTCCAGTTCAATCAACGACTTGCTTTCTCCGCAATGAAGAGGAAGAATGCAGGAATCATTTATTTTTCTCCTGTGAATACTCGAAATCTGTTTGACAACAGATTTTCCGAGTTACTGATGTTGTCAGCCACTGTTACTCGTTGTATAAACTGGGGCATATAACTCTTTCATTATTTGTTAGTCAGCTGTTGTTTTTAGGAGATCTCCCAGCTTGTTCTTTGAATATTGAGATTAAATCTTCAATTATCCAAAAAAAAAACATTATTAATTACTCCCCGCACACGAAAATAAACAAAGAGCATTCAAATATAAACAATGCTCATCAGAATCGAAAAGAAAACCTTTGGAATTTGAGAGCAGAGTTAAATAATAGAAGAATAAACCTGTACGAAGTCTTCAGTTAGATACAGTAGTAAATATTTTTCCGATAGCACAAAAGAGAAACGTTTTCAATATTTGACAACGTTAAAGGTTATACTTATAATTAAGATAAGCATCAATCCTCCATTGACATGCAGTTTTCATATTGACCAAAAATGGACATCTAAAAGAAATTCTAAAAATGCATGAGAATTACCTGCTCCACGCCTGCATATGGTTTTACTTGGATCCCTGGAAAGAATGAAAAAAATTGGTGCAAAATTAAGCAAGCACAATCCAGCTTTCGTTTCCTATAAAGTTTTCTGGTGGGAAAGAGAAGGGCGCTGAGTTAGATGAAAATAAAAGGACTAGAAGGGAGGAAGGAAAAAATGGTCGTTGACTGCTTATTACTTTATGACTGGTAAAGGCTAGCAAGTACGTCGGTTTTTTCCTTTCAAACTATGGATACTTAGCTATTCCGTCCAAAGTTTCAATGCAGTATTCTTCTCTTCCATGGCCCATTCATTGCATTTAATGTGGCATTATACTTTTTTTCTTGTCTCTTACCTAAAATCTAGCCTTTTCATGATCTTTCCGCAACCGATTTTTATTATTTTTTTTGTCTTACCTGCTTTGTCTTTTTATGTATTGGTGATCACATTTACAAAATTTTTATTTTTTTTAAAAAATATAATTTTACATTTAAATTTTTAACTTATTAATTACTACATAATTTTTTATTTCAAAAACAAAAATTAAATCCCCTTTCTCTTAAAATAAAAAATATATATAATTTTATTCTTTCATTACCACTACGTCGTACCAAATCTTTTACTTATTTGGCAGAAAACTCTGTTAGGTATGGAGCAGAGATAGAGGGAATAGGGGCTAATAGTGGCCCTCGCTCCAAATTTTAAAGTTTAATATAATAAGTTAAATATTTAAATACATATATAAAATCTAGTTGTATTATTTGCAATTTACTATAATACAAGAAAAATAAATTAGAGCCTGAATTTACAATTAAAGAGAAAAAGTGCAAAAGTAAGTTACCATAAACTGAAAGAGAGATTTAGTTTTTAGGCAACAACACGAATACCAACTGAAGCAGCCCAATCAAAATCAGTGGAGCAGCATAATATGATAAACTAGGCCCAATTATATGTTCCGGAGCTACGTAGGAGATTCAAAAGAACTCAGTATAATTAAACAGAGTATAAGCAACTTTCTTTGGTTTTACCTTTATATGACCATATTAATAACATACCTAGAAGTCCTTGTCCTAACTTACATTTAGTCACTACTATATTTATCATTTTTCTCAAAAGTAAAATGAAAATGATTTGGATACAAAAATTTACATTCAAAATTTCTCCTCTCCAACTTGTTTTATGCCAGAAAGCTTTGAGGGACTAGTTTCCAGGGTAGAGGTTCTATTACTAAGAAAATATAGTTTACTTTCAACCTAGTGCCTGATCTTATTTTTTCTGAACTCTCTTTTTCTCTTTCTCTTTCACATATTGATGAGACAGGGAGATGATTACGAAGGAAAACAAAAAATAAAAAAGTTTATTTTTTGTAAATAATACATGTAGTACATCCAGCATATATATATACATATATATATATATATATATATGATGGGGTAAAATTATTTTAATAAAATAGATAATTTGTTAAGTAAGTGGATAGTCAATTGTTTATTAAATTAATGATATCCTTACTTAACCAATTCATTAAAGTAAAATCTACATAGATATATCTTCGCAAAATGAAGCATATTTAATGAAGTATTTTTAGTGCTCTCGCAGCAGTTTCTGCATAAGAGGGTGAAAAACATACTTCATTTTTCAGGATGCAAATAAATCTGTTAACATACATGAAAGTACAGATGAAACAAGTGAATGTACACAGCTACTTGAGAAGAAATTTTCAAGCGCTCAGTAGGATTGAAGGAAAAATCAAAAGGGGCAAGGGAGGATTCAAGGGTAAGAAAGATTTGGCGTTTATTTACTATAGAAAGAGAGAACTGAAAAAATAGTTTGCACCAGTGTAAGAAGGAGCAGCACAACAGCAGCAAGGAAGGAGATAAGTGCCCATGGACTGTTCAAATAATTATGCTTCAAGTTTGCAATCCATTTGTTCCAACGCCGATCGCAATACTTATTCACTTTGTTAAATAGCTCAGAGTAAAAGAAGGTGTCGGAAGAGAAATAGACAGAGACACCAAGACTGTTAAGCATTCTAGCAACCTCTTCATCATCACCTAACATGTTCTCAATGATTCCACATTGACGAAGAATTTCCACATCTTTCGAAGAATTGATAAGGCACTGGAAAAGTAGCATATAATCAGTAACATGATTTAAGCCTTTGTGTGAAGAAAATTGCTCAAAGGCGATGAGATTTCGGATGGTGCATTCCAGACTATCATAAATTCTTAAGGTAGGGATTTTCATAGTCCCATTTTCAAACTTTAAATCAAACAAGCTATTTCCTCGTATCATTTGGAACTTAACTCCAGCCTCTTTCAACTCTGTGACGCAATGTATGTAGCTCCAGGGAACATTTTTGTTCAGGTCTTGATAAGCCTTCAATTCTAAAGGTGAAGGATGCCAGTATCCATGTACCAGATCCACTAGATGCTTAAATTCTCTAATAGAATTTACATTATTTTGTGAACATCCTTCCCCAGGTAATATATGACAAAAGAAAAAGAAAACAATTGCCATGAATGTTCCTTGATCAGCTGAGGACTCAATCATTGCATATAACTCCCAAAGAACAAAGAGGGGAAGTTGATTCTCAATTAATAACATATCACGACGTATGGTTCCTCGCAAACTGACCAGTTTGAAAATAGGGTCATTCTCATCTCTCAGTTCTATCTTTGAAAATTTATGGATTAGCTGAACAGTAAAGCAACCATCAAGCAGCAACATTTTGACAAAATCATCTGATTCAAGAGCAAAAGGATCTGAATAACATTTGCGAGCTTGGTCTTCCAAATGTCTGATCATCGTGACATATTTCGAGACATCATTCTCCTTTCTTTCTTGAAGAAGCAATCGAAAATAACGGATCTTATGCTCCTCCATTGCCTTTAAGTGAGGTTTAGCGTGGTGGTATGGACCAATAGAAATAAACTCCGGCTCATAGGCCTCTTCATTTACCTTGCGAAGATAATTTGGTACTCTAGCAATGCAACAATCCGGCGATAATGGGGATAAACTCTCTAGCATTCCATCTATGCTAATAGAAACAGGGTCTTCCCTTTCTGCTGCCATCTCTTTCTTCTATAACTTGCACAAAATAAATTGACAATAATTTGCCAAGAATTTCTGGTAAATAAGCCTTAAAAATATATCAAGAAAGAGACAGGGATAATTATTAAGCTTTATATGCATCAATAATCTCTACGTTACACAAGCAGAAAAATTGAATTGAATTAATTGAATGTATTTAAATAGTTTAAGATTTTTTTTTAAGTATTATGCCAACAAAATTCATACCGAATCAAAGAAGGAAAACATTGCTAAAAAACTTTTTCTTTTCATATCTAAAATTGCGTGAGACTTACTTCTTGTGATCTGCGTGGTTGTAGTTTGGTGTACTCTGCTTCTGTTTGGAGATGAGAAAGAGAAATGTTCGTAGCGGAATAACTGAAGGGAACTACAAAGGGAACTGATCTACGCGTTTTCTTTGGTAAGCCTTCCTATGGGAAAGGGTAGGTGGTAAGAATACCATTGACTTAGAAGATTGAAGTTTCCTCCAACTTTACCTACTAGGCTTATCCCCTTCCCTTCAACCCAGCGCCTGATCTTGTTTTCTCTGCACCTGTCTTTCTCCCTCATCCATGGACGAGACAGGGAGATGATTATGATTTATGGAAAAAACAACAAAAAATTGCCTTATTTTTGTAAATAACATATATGTGGTAAGGTTCAACTTATGCTGTCAACAGAGGCCAGGCATGCCAAAGCTCATGATGAAAGATAACATCTTAGGGTAGCATTGACTGTAATGGTCAACAACCAGCTGTGTATATATATATATATATATATATATTTATATTAGTAAAGGTCTGTGTCTGGTGCTAAGGTGTAATTTTCTTTACACCTTTATGGTCGATTTTTCTTATATATTTTTCTCATTTCCATTTTTATTGTTTTCTTTTTCTTCTCTCTCCAAATGCCTCATTCTCTCCATGTACGTCTTCTATCTCTTATTTTTTCCCTCCTCATTATTTAGGTGCCAAAAAAATTTAAATAATATAAGAAAAATATTAAAAATGCCTTTAGTACTAAAAAAATAAAAAACAAAATCAAAGATGTCGCTGTGTCGACCTATCATATGTTGTCTTTTTATTTCATATAGTTATAAATATAAAAGTTAAGATATTATCATTGCAAAAAGGAAATTCGAATTTAATTTTTGATTTAGATATATATTTTATAATTAAATTAAATATTCAAATGTCAATTATTAGTTATCGATATATAATTTCTTTCTCAACTTTTTTTTTCTTTATTTGTTGTGTTTTTCTACTAACTTTGTTATTTAATTTTGTTTATGCATGCTAACGAATATAAGTGTTTGTTTTATAGATGCTTTAATTTTTTTTTTGAAAAGCTATGGATGCTTTAGTTGCGGTGTTAAATTGTTTTACAAGTAAATTACAAAATTTCATATTTATATATATCAAATGTACGAGAGTTCTTACCCAAAATTCTATCAGTGATTTTAAGTCTTTTAGTTCTATTTTTTTTTCATTATGATGATAATAAAGAAGATATAATATTAAAATATTAAGCATAATCAAAATAAATATTGTAAAGGGATTTTGAATTTAATAAATTGAATTTATTCCTGTTGGGGTTTATAAATTAAATACACAAAGCTGAAAAGATTAGAGAAAAAAATCAATTTCAGAAATAATGCCCACTAAGCCATAAAAGGTTGAGCGGCTGTTGATACCAAAAACCCCAACCAAATTACAACAAAATTACATAAAAATAAGGGAAAAAAATCAAAGTAAATATTGTAAAGGGATTTTGAATTTAATAAATTGAATTTGTTCCTATTCGAGTTTATAAATTGAATACATAAAGCTAAAAAGACTAGAGAAAAAATCAATTTTGGAAATGATGCCCACTAAGCCATAAAAGGTTGAGTGGCTGTTGATCCCAAAAACCCAAACCAAAATACAACAAAATTACATAGAAATATGGGAAAAAAATGGTAAAAGTTAAAAATAAATGGCAAAGGTTCCTTCAAACCTTTATTTTCATTATATGCGATTCGTATTTAATCAATTATAATTATAATTTTACAATTTAATTTTTAGAAAATAAATAACAATAATAATGATCAAATGGAATTTATAAAAAAATAATTTGATTTTGAAATTTTTTATATTAAAATTTTTAGAAAATTATAAAATTGAGTTTAGTATAAAATTTGATGAAATATTTTTTATTTTGAAATTGGAAAAAGAAGATTCGAACTTATTCTTTAAATAGGAGATTATATATACTAATCAATAAACCAAATACTTAAGTGCAATAATTGACGAAATATATGACATCTAGCTTTATTATTTACAATAATACGAGAAAAATAAATTAGTCAAAATATCATAGCAATTCCTATACTCATACATTTTCACGTAGACTTTATGTGTCACATTTTCCTTTAATTGACATGATGATGTGGCATTTTGAAGTTAAGATCTCATGTAAATATAACAAGCTGCTTACTACTTGCTTTAAACCTTTACCTTTGTTTATATATTGCTTTTGTTTCTTTCTCCTTTTCTTTCCTTTTTTTATTTTCAATTTTTTCTTTCTTTCTCCTCTCACCTTCTCCCTTAAAGATTGGTCGCCTATCAATAGACATCACTTGGACCATCGATCATCAGTCACTAGACATCAGTTATTGGTTGACAATCACCAGACATGCCATGCCATGACCATGACTAGTGATTGTTGATCAACAATCGACGACGATGTTCGATGATTGGTGGCCGATCTTTAAGAGAGAAAAAAAATAAAAAAAAAAGAGGAAAGAAAAGAAATAAAAGCAATATGTAATCAAAGGCAAGGGTTTAGGGCAGGTGTTAAGGAGCTTGTTGTGCACATAATATTTTTAGAGAAAATGAGGAAAGTCTTGTGAATTTACAATAAGGAAGAAAAGGTGAAAACAACTTAAAAGAGAAGCTATAGAAGAGAGATAAACAGTGCAAATCACTAAAGTGAATAGAAGCAGCCCAATTAAATCAAAGGAGCAGCCTAACTAGAGCCAACTATATATTCCGGAGCCCTAAGAGATTCTAAAACCCTTAAGAGAAACAAAAGAAGATACTGTAGTTAAACAAAGAACTTTTAATTCATCTCTATGTAAATTAAAATCATAGTTTAAACAACCTTAATTGGTTTTACCTTTATATGGATTAAATTAAAAATCATTTTTCTAAGTTAATTTACATTGAAATCAATGTCTTAGAGTTAAAATCCTTTAGGTATGCCAGAGGACTTGTTTCTAGGGCAGAGTTTCCATTACTAAGAAAATAAAGACACTTGCAAGAATTTGTTTACTATATATAAGAGATAAATGAAAATATAGTTTGTAGAAGTGTAAGAAGGAGCAACATAATAGCAACAAGAAAGGAGATGAATGCATTGATTTCTTATCTAATAAAAGAAAAAAAAAAAGAAAGAAAGGAGATGAGTGCACATGAACTATTAAGGTAAATATGCTTCAAGTTTGCAATCCAATGCCAATTGTAATACTTGTTCACTTTGTTGAATAGTGTAGAGTAAACAAAGGTGTTAAAGGAGAAATGGACAAAGACACCAAGCTTGTTAAAAATTATAGAAACCTCTTCACCATCAGCTAACATGTTCTCAATGATTCCACATTGACGAAGGATTTCCACATCTTTCCAAGAATTGACAAGGCAATGAAAAAGTAGCATATAATCAATGACATGATTTAGGCCTTCGTGCGAAAAAAACTACTCAAAAGTGATGAGATTTTGAAAGGTGCATTCCAAACTGTCATAAGTTCTTTAGGTTGAGAATTCATAGTCCCATTTTTAAACTTTAAGTCAAATAAGCTATTTCCTCGTATCATTTGGAACTCAATTCCAGCCGCTTTCAGACACAATGTATGAAATTTCAAGAACATTTTTGTCCAGGTTTTGATAAGCCTTCAATTCTAAAAGTGAAGGATGCCAAAATTCATGTACGACGTCTAGATACTTGATTTCTCTAATACAATTTAGACTACTTTGTGGCCATCTTTACCAAGTAAGATATCATATTGACCATTTTTATTTAGATCTATTTTCACAATTTTTATCGTAACAAAGAAGACGAACATAGCTTATTGATATAATTTTAAAATATTGGGCATAATCAAAGAAAATATTGCAAAGGGATTTTGAATCTATTTGGTAATTGAAAAATAATTTGTTGGAAGAAAATTTTTTCAATGTAAAATATTTTATAGAAAAATATAATATTTTTTGTTATTTAAATAACTATCGAGAACATTTTCTATCGTTTGTATTATTTTGCAAAAAAATTTTCTACAATCTAATGGAGTTATTTTAATGTTAGGATGATAAATAAGAGTTAATTATAAAGCAATGTTGTCATTTGATTTTCACTAATTTGATATCGAAATAAAAAATGGATATGAAAATATATAAAATCAATAATAATATTTCTCAAAACATTTAACTACGTGTCTATAACCATATATAAAAAGAAGCTAGTGCTTTATCTTTGCGCCACGTAGATTAATAGTTTTGGGTCATATGGAGCTCCAGTTGATTGACATGTAAGTTGTTTGAGTTTGGAGACTTTCAAGCATGGGTTTGGACTTTTTGGACATTCGCTCTAAAGGTGTACGAATAAGATCTCCCACACATATGTTTTTCATTTTTGATTTCTTCTATTTCTTAGTATTATCTCCCTTTGTCAATACTTTTATCCCACTTAAGTCTATGATTTTCTCTATTAATTTTGTTACTCTAAACAATGGATTAGATTCTTGCCTTTTGCCTCAGTTAGACTTTTTTTAACTTGTGAAATCATATTTGATGGGTTATAGGTTTAAGGTGTGGGTTATCCATTGTTGTTGACCCATAAAATTGAAATAGTAGGAGCTGCATGGATGCATGGCCTGTCAACTTGGTAATAAATCTTGCTAACTGCCTCATAACTATTTTGCATCTATGTGGGTGAACACCATTTTTGCTCCGCTATTGCTAGTGGAACTTTCATCGTCTGTTCTATACAGAACCCAATGCCTTTCTTGAGTAAATTATCTTCCTTTGGATGAAAAATAGTTTACAGCAATTAAGTTGTTTGATTCCAGTTAATGGGTTTGGATTCAGTTAACGGGTGTTAAGAGATAGCAGTTAAGTATGTTCGTATCTTAGTATTTTATTTTATGATTAGTGCAATATAATCATTCATACAATCCTTTTAACTCTTATACAATGCTACTTATCACTTTTTTACTATAATATTATAAAAATATCAATATTTATTAATTGTGTAAGAATCCAAAACCTATATTTATGTGTTTACTATAAAAATTATCATTATTTATCAATTGGATAAAACATTCAAAACTTATATTTACGTGAATTCACCATAAAATATCAATATTTATCAATTGTGTAAAACATCCAAAATTTATAATTATATATATTCATTTAAAAACAATCATTAAAATATTTTTTACTATAATTATTAGTAAATTTTATTCAATTTATAAATAAAAAATTTAATTGCATTGAAGGGTTTCATTAAAAAATATTTTTTAATTTTAATATTATTGAATAATTTAAATATTAATATTTTAAATTAAATATTAATATATTTTTAATTTTTTAATATTTTAAGTTAAATATTAATATTCATTAAATATATATTCCTAGACTTATAAGAGTTTTTTTTTTCTGGAAAATGTTTTACGTTCCCTAGAGGCTTTTCAGTGGTCAATG